CCGGTTAAGAACATAACGGCTTATTCGGAAATGAGTCGAAGTGATCGGTCTCCCCAGAATCTGCATATTATGGAAGACGCGGTTCGTTTTCACCCCCTGACTGACACGCAGTTTGACGGCGTGAGTGCGTTTCCCAAAAGCTCCACCTACGTGTCCAGCTTACGTTACCGCCGCTATTTGAAAGGCTATCGCGCAAAAACCGAATGGCATCACTTTGAGGACAAAAATTTCGACTATACCGTTCCTCCTCCAGATGCCCCTTGGACGAAGAAGAAGGCAGAAAGGATGGACACCGTGAAGCCGTCTAGATATTTCTTCTGAATGTTGCCAGTCGCAATCTGATTTTTCTCGTTTTGTTTATGCCTCTAATTCAGTTGATCATATTTTAGTATGTATCCTTATTAAATATACATTAACATATTTTAATTGTGGTTGTTTGACATCGTCATCTGAGCAACACAATAGTTAAAACAATCGAATAATTCGGATTTATGACATCTGACTCACAGGCATGGTAGAAATATGGAACTGAAAGTTGCATTGCAGGTGTTGAAGAAGCATAATAGCTTATTTGTGCATAGTTCGTCGGTTAAGTGATGGAAGTCCACTTATATCATACGGATCTTCTTCAAAGTATGGAGTGTGTGTGGGGTGGGGGGAGTCATTGGCGACAGATCTGTTGCTCGTAGTTGCCGAATTTTGTGGAATCAGAGGGCGAATTTTGTTATTTTGTCATGGTCGTTTTCAAACAGATTTACCGAACTGCGGCTGATTAAAATTATATGATTGCTTATCTCAACATTTCTAAATATGGCGTGTTCACTCTCGAAGAAAAACAGTCCTTATCAGAAGCAGACCTATGCTCAAATTCTGCTAAATGACACGATAGCCATTGATTGTTGTTTATCCGTATTTGGGTTCAAACATAACCAGCGGAATTGCAAAAGATCGAGCAGGCGGAATGACGCAATTGGTTCGAGTTTGGAGTGGAGCAATTTCGCCAATTGTGCATGCAGTGAATTGTGCTTTATAGAGCGCAGTATTAGGATTCCATAGATTTGCATTAGGGCGTTACCGTCCTTATATAATCAGAATGTCCATCTTGTTGCTGAAGAAACGAACACGGGGCCTAGTAGATCTGCTTCGCGACTTCTTTCATCTTCTTCATCTTCATCTTCCATCCCCGCTTCTCCTTTCGGGTCGCGGAGGCAGACGCGTCAGACAGTGCTTTCAACGTTCCCGATCCTGTGCCA